CCCACAGTAGGATTTGTGGCAGGCCTGAAGCCTGAAGGCACAAAGGTAGAAATATGGCTTCCAGGTCTGATACTCATATTATTAGATGCATTTGTAAAAGAATATCAGCTGAGACTTGAACAGAGGGAGGTAAGAAATGGCCACTTATCCAGTGGTGGGATTCAAATTTTTTTAATACTGGTTCTGTGGGTGTGAGTTGGTAGGCATGGCATGGCTTGGGGGCGTGGTTTGGTGGGCATGGCAGGGGAAGTATACTGTAAAATCTCCATTTCTTCCTGATCAGCTGGGACTCGGGAGGCAGAGAATAGATGGGGCAGTGCCAGTCAGAGGTGGTATTTACTAGTTCTCCAAACTATTCAAAATTTCGGCTACCAGTTCCCCAGAACTGGTCAGAACCTGCTGAATACCACCTCTGCACTTATCCTATCCAACTCAAAGAACAAGTGGCAGATCAGCCATATCCAGGCTTCATCACGTCATCTACCTCAAATATTACTGATATCCCTGACAATAAAAACTGAGGTCAATCTTCTGAAAGCCATCCCTAGATAAAAGATTGGTATTATTTCAAGAAAAGGGAGCATGGTGGCCTACCAGTTAAGACAGTAGGCTTGTCAGTTGGCAGTTTGAGATCCAACTACGTATCACTGGCTGAGCTCCCATTCTTGCCCCAGCTCCTGCCCACCTAGCAGTTTGAAAGGATCCAAGTAAATAGGTACCACTTTGGTGGGAAGTAACAGTGTTCTGTGCATCTTGGTATATAGTCACGATGAACAGAAATATATTTGGACAGAAATGTCTTTGGAAACATTGTCTCCCTCTGCCAAGAAATGGAGATGAGCACCACCCCCTAGAGTTGGACAGACAAGACAGGGAAATGCTTATTTTATCTTCAGGATAAAAGATGACATCTTCAGGATGTCATCTTCCTAAGCTTCTTTCTTCAAAGGAGGATACTATTGTTGATGGAGGAGAAAGGGTATAGGTGCATATGTTTGAATGCATATGCAAGTTAAGAATATTGCTTTTTCTAATATAAGGAATATCTGAAAAGTGGTAAGCTAATATTTATATAGGATTATTGAACATCACTCATATATCTCCTATATCTGTTTTTCAGAAGAATGATTAGACAATGCATATATACGTTGGCTTATTTCTATATTGCAGGATCCAATCTGACTCAGTCACTGGGACCAAAGCTTCATTCTTCCAAACTTTCAGGCTCATGCTGGAACCCATCAAGAGGAAACTTCTCTCTCTCCAGAATATGTGCACTGGGTTGTTCTATGCATTGTATTTATATGGTGCCTGGTTGTATGTGGCATTTAGTGGTTAATTAGGTAGCTATTAAGTCACTGATTATTGTTTCCTTGTGCCATTGTGCCCTCAGCTCCGTACCTGATAAACTGGTGGTAAATAGTATTCCTGTTGACTGACAAGGGGCTCCTTTCCTGGGCTTCAATCATTTTTCTGGCTATTTTTGTCACTGTTCAGTCAACAGACATAGTAGCTGTGAAACTGAATGCATGTCCTTGTTGACTGCAGTGTGTGAGGGTACCAATGAGTTCAGGTCTCCTTGTCTAACTGCTTGCTCATGTTCTCTCAATTTCTATATTATTATCTCTATATTATTACATTTTTACCCCTTAAACCCAAATGTGAGTGATCATCCTATTGGTGATGTACACTGAAACTGGTTGAGGGTAAAAAAGAGAATGGTAAACTGAATATATGCTAATATATCATTTACTACACACCATTTTACAGGTATCTTGACAGTGTTAACCCTGCATTAAAAATGGCATAAATAGTATTGCAGAAGCAATGTCTTCTATTGGCTACTGAACAATGATACTCATATGTTCATACGTATTCGCTAGGGAACTTCAGTGGGGTAATAACACATGCACAAGGAGTGGGGCTTCAGTTACGGTGCCATGCCTGCTGTTTTGCAGATTTGGATATTCCTGTAGACACTGCTGTTTCCTAGAGCTGGCAGCCTATACATGTGTTGGACTCACTGGAATTCTGGAAAGTTCCAGGAAATCATCAGTTTAGAGTAGAAGCTCTATTTCAACTTTTCTCTATGTACAAGGATACTTACTCTTATACAGCAATAGTTAGGTCAGAGAAATTGGAGGATGTTGACGCTACTCTGCAGTCTTTTTTCTTCCTGATAAAAGCAGAGATTGTCTAATTTTGAAAAGTGAGAGATTGTTGCATGTTGATTGGTAACCATGTTGAAAACAGAAAAAATAAAATACTATTCATATGAGAGGTGGGGAGGGAGCAATCTTATGCTGTTTCTTTATCTGGAAGCACAATCCTCCAGATTCTATTTTCTTAAAATTAAAATTAAACTGAAGTGCAAGACATCTTGGGACAAGACATCTTTTGCTATTTAACACTTAACAGAGTAACAGGGTTGGAAGGGACAATCAGACAAATGGTTGTCTAATCTCTTCTTAAAAACCTCCAGTGTTGGAGCACCCACAACTTCTGGAGACAAGTCATTCTATTGATCAATTGTTCTAATTGTCAGGAAATTTCTCCTTACTTCTAGATTACTTCTCTCCTTGATTAGCTTTAATGAAAATATCTTAAGAGGACAAAAAGCTTCACTAACAATTAAATTAATTTATTCACATTAACTTGCTTATTTGAAGGTCCAAGGGTTTGGGGGACAGTTTAGAAAACATAGAAGTCAGTACAGACTTTTAGGAACTGTATCAGAGAATAAACCTATTTTATGGCCTTTGATGCAATGCCGTGCCAATGGCTATTGGCCATTTATATTATGTTCTAAGTTATCTTTATATGCTTTGCTTATGAATGCATTCAAAATATCTCTGGATGAATTATTGTTTCATTTCAAAGAAATAAATATCCCCAACAAATTTGATATGAGAGAAGGAGGGGGAGAGGGAAAATGCATAGCAACCAAATACATCGCAGCTACAAAGCAAGTAAGGTTTCCATGGACACATTTTTTCTAAGTGACAACCAATCTTTAAAAAGGAAGTATAGATTTATTCAATAAGGTTAAGAACATTAAAATTATTGATGCAAAAACAAAGCAACATGTATCTGCCTATATTGCCCATAAAATTTGGCTCAATGAAAGAGATGAATCTGAATAAAACTGTGATCATATGGATGTTGCACTATACATAAAGGTAACTCATGAAGTTGATCAAAATTGTTAGTGTGCTGTGTCAGGCAAAATACACACTTAGGCACCCATATGCCACTTGCAAGTGGGGATGATTCTGACATTTGCCAGAGATGACAAACTATGTGTATAGGGGTCAAGTCATGCAACATTTACAATATATAAGTACAATTTATTTAATTCAAAATAAATTATTTGACATAGTGCCAAATAATACTGCCATGAAACTCACTAGCATTTTAAAATGTGTATTTTTAGTTTAATCCAAAGACCACCCTCCCCAGCAATTTGAAACCTTTCAAGTTATGTACAATTCTTAATTAACAAGAATAGCTTTGAGGTCCTATAAAATAATAAAATCATGTGGGTTCCATACTCTTAAAAGTGTATTTTTTTAATACAGTAGAAGTCCATACGTCTTAAATTTGCCAAGTTTGAAAAACACTGTCTTAGAGTGACAGCATGGGAGAAAAACCTATTAGAATAGTCTACCTCAGATGCTGATGGATTGCATCAGATTCTAGAAAGCCCTGAGACTTCCTGAGAAATGGTTGGTGCTCTTATCCAAGATTTGATTGTCTTTGGAATACAGAAATGACCTGGTCAATTGACCTAATAGCTCCTAAACATTTTCTCCTATGGTGCACAGTCCATTCATTCCCTTGGGAACACATCTCACCTGAAGACAATAAAGCAAATTTAGATAAACAGGAATTCGGGAGAAAGAATTCTTGACTCTATCTGACCAAGTACTACAAAGAAACCATTATCAAGCCTACCCTGTTGCAAACACAAAAAAAGAAGTGCTTTTTTCCCTTCACAATAAAAACATTTACCATACCCTTACCATTCCTTTCAATTTTCCTACAATTTCTTATCATCTCACCATTTCAAGCAATTCATATCTCTTTTGAATGCAAAGAATTTTCATCCTCATTTCTACTGTCTACCAGGTCAGTCACTCCTTTAGTTGATCCTTAATATGAAACAAGAAACTTATTTTAGTCTGCAAGAAGTCCTGGAATGGTGTGAGTTAAGCTGCTTGTTAAATGGAAATCAGATGCGCTTCTCCTGAGAAGTGAATATGAGAGCCAGATGAAGCAGAGGATTTGCTGTATCTGTGGCTGCAGTGACAAATTATATCAGCACCAAAAAGTTGAAGTTTGATCCAAACAGTTTGGGTGCTGTAAGTGGATAGGCTGTCTGTCTATTTGAGCAGTATGCAATACATTTGGGGTGAGAGTGTATTCTCTACGAGCAAGTTTGAAGTTTAGGGTGCTTCCAGATCCATTTTTAACATTGGGGGGGGACAAAGCACTGTTTAAGCACTGAATATTAATCTCAATCATGTCAAGATTTCTTTATCAAATTTGTATGCCACTAGGCAGCTCACAATAATTAATTTTTAATGGACAATTGTGTTTACAGTAAATGTTTTGAATTAATAATTATACGGTAGGTTTATTATTTATTCATTTGCATTTTATATCCTCCCTTTTCTTCAACTGATTAAGTTAATTTATATAGAGATCTTTTAATCGTCACAAATGGCTGCAAGATAGGTTTCGCTGACAAAGTTGCTGTACCAAAGTATTTTTGCTCCATGCCACATTTTATTTGAAAATACCATTATTTACTCTGTCCATTTGTCACTCTGCAATGTGAAGGTAAATATTTGATTTTTCATTTACTTTTCTATCATCACATATCACTGGTATTATAGCAAGAAGTAATTATAATGACAGCATACACTGACTATAGTGTACATTTGTGTGGACAGCTGTATTTCAATAATTTTGATACAGTCATAAAGGAAACTAAAATATAGGAAGGTATTCATTTGCATTTATTTGTATTTTTCAAAGGTAAAACATTACATGTAATGAAACAATACATGTAATCTAACCCCAAATATACATACATAGGTTTAATTCCTCAGCAACAATGAAATTTAAGGCATATAAAATAAAATATAAACAGAATGTAAATAGTTATATTACTTGATGTAATACTATTTATATTTCTGAATCTAAATAAGAAATTAGTCATGGAGGACTTGGGGAAGTATATGGATAGAGTTCTCCAAAGACACCTCATTATACATGAAAACATGCTTTTCTATTCCTCATACATAGAACAAACCACATATAAACCACATCAACAGATCTCAAATTATAGTCAGTGCTTAGTGATTGAGACATAATTAGCTGGGTATATACATTGTGAAACATGCTTCAAACATCACGATTAAAAAAACATGGTATTGTTGGGTACAAACAATACCCAAAACATTGTAACAACATGATGTTGGAACTCTAGTGCGCATATTGTACATATCCTAAAATCATTCAGAAGTGTGTTGGACTTTATGCAAGCACATCACTCTCTGTTTTTCATTAAAACAGTCCTTACATGGGCCTGAAGAAAATTGTGTCTGCTTTAAAAGGGGCATTAATCTTAAAAGGTCTGCAAACTTACAGCAGCAGCAGCATCGTTTTAGCCTCACAGTAGCCTGAAAAAAATGAGCTACTGTAACGAATAGCACAGATGGTACGCACATGCGCAGTCTGAAGTGCATCTTCCAAATAATTCTTTAATTATGCACACCCTGGTATGATTCAGTCATATACCCACCTCCAAGCTCTCTTCCTTGCATTTACTCTGCCCATCACATAGGCAACTCTAATAGGCACGGATGGCTCTTAAGGGGTGTAACAGCAGTGGGAAGAGACAAATCAAAATAGCAATTAATAAAATAGACCCTACATGCCCACACATTTTATTTACAACAAAGGAATTATATAATAGAAAGACTGCAATTTCTTTAAGAAATGGCCTGTAATCTGGTAATTGTTGGAGATTAATATATCCTATGTGTTCTGAGGGTAAATATCCAATCTGAACAATGTTCAGAGAAGCAAAATTTGTAATTATAATAGAAAAGGGATTTATTTGAAGGAAAAACATCAGAGGGAAAAACAATTCCCAGCACCTAGGTAGCTATATCCCATCCAAAGGAGAGACTAAGAGTAGGTGTTTCATGTATGTGTATCTAGATCATGAAAGGCAAAAGAAAGTGACCTCAGATTAGCAATCTCTTAAAACAGGATAGACAGAGAGATAAGCAAAGAGAAAATATAGAGTAAATCCAAAACTCTCTGTCAACACACTACTGGCCCCTTGTGGTGAATAAGTAATGAGATTCTGAAAAATGGGTGCCATTGGATTTGGACCTCCAACAATGTTGAAGTGTAATAATGTAGTATAAGGTTGTAGTGCCTTATTCATCCTTTCACTTGTCCCTCCCCCCCTTTTTTTTTCTGTTCATTTTTAATGTTCTTCCAAATAAAATGATTTGCTTTATTGGTTTTATTTTTGTCTCTTCTCCCTTTTTTCCTTCCTTCCTTCTTTCCTTCCTTCCTTCTTTCCTCCTGCCCTCCCTTCCTTCTTCCCTCCTGATAAAATAGCTTGGTATCAACATAAACTGTCCGTATTCTTCTCTTGACAACAGTACAGAAGTAGATTGCCATCACCCTCTTCTGGGATTTTTTTTTTTACCTTCCCAGTTTAGTTCAGTGTTAAGATTCCCTGGCTGACTCCTATCCATATATTAGCCAGGTCTTATTCTGGTTTGCTTTTTTTAAAGGCCATCTAAGGTTAGCTAGTTTCTGCCATCAATTGGGAGAATGTCTTTCCACCCTAAATAAGGTTCTGAATGCCATGGAACTGATAATCATTGTGTAATTATTACAAAAATAAATCCCTATGAAGTTCTGCTTGTCTTTTTAAAAACCCTGAAATGAATGGGACTACAGTTTTGTATATGGTTCCCGTTATACCTTACAGTAGAAAATATTCTTGCTGTACCGGTCAGCCAGATTGGTTTACTCTCTCTAGAGAGAATTCATTCGATATTGATATGCCTGGTATTCCATTGCATCCCTACAACAGTTATCCAATATTCCACAGCTTCTGGGTTTTTCTTGCTTTATACAGTTTTGCTCAAGCTTGGGATTTACCAAAACTTACTGCTATCTTATGCATAGATAATGCTAGATCATCTGAAAAAAATGAATTGACTACTTGTTGTGCTTGCTAAGAAAAATACCTTTCCTGGAAGAGATGAAGCTTTGTGCCAAATCCTTTAGGATATGAAAGGAGTTATGCGTCTATTTTTATTTTAATAGAAATGTACATTTCTTCCTCTCTCGTGATCCACAAACATGGCAAAGTGAATATAAAATATATGCTAGAGGCGTATTTGTCTAAGGGTTCTATTAATCCCCTTATGTACAAATAGAATATATGCATACCAAATTAGGAATTTAAGATTTAGAAGGGTTTTTTTTAAACAAATGATTCATAGCCTCCTCCAGAATTTATTAAAAAATGACTAACTATTAAGCAATGTTTCATGTTAACTTTATTGCCACACCCCTGCAGGTCTATCTTTCAGGCCAACTTCATTCCTTTACCTGGGAGTGGAAAGAAATAATAGAAAAAGTAAATAAAGGAGTGAGTTGGAAAGCTTTTCATCTTCACAATTACTCTCATTCATTATTTTGGTGCCCAGGGGGTTGAATAGAGGACCAAAATGTTTCTCAAGAGTCCTTAGGAGATGAACAAGGCACAGCTTCAGGGTGCATCTCACTACCTTGATTCAGAATGATTTCTCCCTGACTCCAGGAGTAGCATCTCTCAAGCAAACAGGAATCCTGTCTTCCTGCAATTAATTCTCATGTGCAAGGAGCCTTAATGTTTATCTAAATATTCATTCATCAACTTCTCATTCATTTCAGCTTCGGTGACTTTTGCATTGCACAACAGAGGAAGTGAAACTGCTAGTCAGGCAAGGTCATTTCATGCATGGCACCTTTTTTTTTTACAAAAAGATAAGCTTCATGTAGAAGGGAAAGCAGCCCACATGTCCACTGCCATGTGGGAAAAATGTGTGACATCTGTACTGCCTTTCCTAAACATCATCAGCATTGTTGAAAGACACTTGGTTTTCCCCACAATTTTCAGCACTCAGTTTATATTCTCTTTCAAAACAGTTGTCTTATCTTAAATGGCATTATCATGTAGCCAAGCCATGTTAGTTATAAAAATTGTGATGTTGTCCCATTCACAGTTCTTGGATCCAGGGGTACATACAATTAGTCAAGAAGGAATAATTTGCAGTTATTCTGGCTTGACCTGAGCATGCTACATTTTCATACTGCAAAATCTCACTGGCTGTGATCATTGTGATCATGGGCTGTTTTTTTCAAAATCATTTGTAATATTGAGGAAGCAATTGACTAAAGATGGGGAGGATAAAGCCTGCATGGCTGCAGCTATTAAGTAAAACTGTAGCTTAGATCAATGTTGAAAGAACTGATAATTCATCCCACTTTTTTTTTTTTTGAAAAATATTTTTTCCATAAAGGTTTGAAATTATTGAAACTGGAAAGCAGTTATTTAGGTTGTAATTTGGTTTCACTGGATATTTGGAAAATATTAGCAAGTAAAATGGGGCCCTAAAAATTAATTAAAACAAGAAAGTGTTTGGGTGTTTAAACTTAAGGAATATACACTGAATAATAACAAAATAATCCATGTATTATCTTAATCACATTAAATGATTTAATGGTTTGGTCAAGTGGAGAGAAACCTCATGTCTGTGTTATTTTCCTTTGATTGCTAAAACTCTGCCATGGCTTCTAAGTGTGAGCCAATAAAAGAATAGGCCCTGTTTAATTTGAAGGATACAGTCCAGGAGCAGCAACTGATCGTTTTGTTTTGTTTGTTTGTTTTATTAAATTTGTATACCACCCTACTGATTATTGCTGCTTGTTCAACTGCACTTGTTAATTTCTGTATTTGTGTGTAAATGTACATGCATGTCTATGTTGGTGCCCAGATAGGAGTCAATTGATCCATTGTAAATCAATTGGTTTTCTGTAAGGTGATCGTATTACAAGTCTTCTTGATATGGTCAATTGACTAAACAATATGCTGTAGTTACTATATTGTATTACAAGTCAGATGTAATATGATTATGGATGCCTAACCCAACAGCAATCATACTAGCACATGATGTGAAAGCATTATTGGATATATAAATAAGAGGAAAGTAAATACATACATGCACTCTTGATTACTCAAGTATATATCTTACTGTGGCACAATCAGCCTGAAAGATCTATGAATATAGTATTTACAAAAAGCAAAGAAAAAATATGTTGGGCAGGGATGACAGACAATATAGTCTGTATCAGTGGTGGGTTGCCCCCGGTTCAGACCAGTTCGCAAGAACCGGTAGTAAAACCGGCGGGAGGCCCCATCCACTGCCCTGGATGTCGTCATCGGCGATCTGCGCATGCGCAGAAGCAAGACGCACTCATGAGCAAAGTGAGGGCGCACGCGTGATCCCGTTGTGAACTGGTAGTAAAGATAAGTAGAACTCACCCCTGGTCTGTATATGTAGGCATGCCAACCTTTTGATCTTTGTCCCCGAATATTAGGCATAATCTGATACTTGCAACACTTACTGCAGACCAATTCCAATATACTCATGAACTGCAGGCCTTATGGGCACAAGATCTGCTCTGATTTGTAGATGTGGTTCTTTAATATTGTTTCTACACAGTCTCTGTTTGCTGTACAGCCAAATTTGTTGAACTCCTGAGAACTTGAAAGCATTTACACATTTTTATGATATTTTAATAACTCCTGAAAATGATACTACCATCTGTGGATTCTGGATTTCAAACCATAGCAGATACTTGAAATGATCTTACCTGGCTTATGAGCTCCATGCAGAATGTCATCACACACAACACCCAATAAGGACGTCATTTATAACATGTTTTCTGTATCAACATTGCATTTCATTACAGGGCAGTATTCCTGCATTCAGTAAGCATCATCATTTGGCCATTCTTCCATAAGGTTCCAGCCAAAGAAGTATTTAGAAGAGTTCTTTTTGATTAAGGTTGATGGAGTTGCTTCTTAAAAGAATAATTGCAAAGGCCAATGGAAGAGCTGCCAATTGTTCTGCTGTAACCAAGAAAAGTTCTATCAATTTGAAAGAAAGTTGAGGACCCTCCACCGTATTGTAACTAGGTACTTTGCTATGACATTGATTGGTGCGTTTAAGTATTTACAAACTGCTTGAGAAGATGACTCAGAGTATGTTAGAAGCAACACAGCTGACACCCCTGCTGATGGGGGAAGAAGTAGGTGGAAAAGATTGCTTGGAGATCAGAATATGTGGTTTTGAAAGTACTGCTGCTTCATCAGCCCACTCTTTGTGCTGTTGTAATTATGTGGGTGTAATAAAAAAGCGAAGAGAGAGAGAAAAAAAACCCCTAAGCTTCACAAGTGAGGTCTGACTGACTGATTTTGTGAAAACCCAAATGTTAAAAAAGCAACAAGAGGCAGATTTGTGATAAAAGCTAAAAAGTTCTTCAGGGAAGAAGAGCTTGCAGTACATCCTGCAAACATGTATTACTTAACCAAAAAAGAGAGTATCAAAGGATTTCCTCCATGTATGCATGTATGTGTATGAACAGATGGGTGCAGATTTTCTGGTGTGACAGATTATAATTTTCTTGAATAAGAACTCTCACAATATTAGCTCTTAATTTAAAAAAACAGTAAGTAACTGCCTAAGAACCTTTCCATCTTAGATCTAGAAAAGAAATTCAGACAGAAGATCTTAGAGGGTCAGCATTGTGACATGATGAAACTTATCCTCATGACTTGGCACAACAATTGTTAGCTAATATTTTAGATCACTAGCAAAATCATGGCTAGAAAGGAAAGAATTACCAGGACTTGCATGGTCAAAAATCAAAGCCAGCCTTAGGAAAAAGTTCAGCAATTTCTCTCTCACATATATGTATATATAGGAAACTAATATCGTTTAGAACAGTTTTACCAAATCTGGAGCTTTGCAGATGGGAAGAACTAAAAACCAAGTATCCCAGTTATAGTGGCTTTGTAATTTAAGATAAACCTTGACTTATGGCCAAAACTGAATCCAAAATTTCTATTGCTAAGCAAGAGAGCTATTAAATGAGTTTTGCTGAATTCTATGATGTTTCTTGTCACAGTTAAATGAATCACTGCTGTTAAATTAGTAACATGGTTGTTAAGTGAATTTGATTTCCCCATTTATTTTGCTTGTCAAAAGGTGATCACATGACTCTAGGATACTGCAACTTTCATAAATACATGCCAGTTGTCAAGCATCTGAATTTTGATCACATGACCAGGGGATGCTGCAACAGTCATGTGAAAAACTGTCATAAGGCACTTTCTTCAGTGCTATTGTAACTTCAAATGATTACTATATGAATGGTTGTAAATCAAGGACTACCTGTATAATCCAATGCATCTGAAGACTGTAGAGATTGTCCCATGTATTTCCCATTATTATGCATATATAATTCATACATTACACTCATACATGGTTTATTTAATTGGGTCAATTAAATAACTGTGATAAAATGTTATCTAGAGTTTATTATTTTGAAGCAAAACAAATGTCAAAAAAGAAAGTGGTATTTGCATGTGATATTGAATCCATGGAGTTGTGCATTTAGTCAGCATTAAGGCAAATGTTTCCATCACTGTAATGGTTTCGATTTCTACCCAAGACTTTCCCTAAAACATGTGGTTTGAAGAAAAACACACAAACTAATGTTGATTTCTGCTTCTACTGCTTCACTTGCTTGAAAATCTAACTCCCTAGGCAAAATTCATAATTCCCTTGGTAGATGAAATATCAAACAAAAAGAAACTGATCAGATTTTAGATCAACAAAGTTGTTCAAAAATGTGAGGAAAACTTGTAGTCTTCCAGATAATATTGAATTTCAGCTCCCAGAATTAAGTAATCTTCTGGGATCATTTGGAGTCGTAGTTGAGTAATTTCTGGAAGGCTACTGATTCCCCAAATGTTTTAGACACTACATTTGATTTCTAAAACAACAATGCTGAAAAAAAGTGACTTGTGACTGTTCTGTCACTTATGACCATTGCAGTGTCCCCGTGGTTAGGGGATCTCCATTTGCCCTTCCTAAGAGGTTTCCATGTGACATGTGATGCAACACCCAGAAAAATATAGCATATTTCACTTAATCCTCCAAGGAAAGATTGAAGGCAAACAAGGTCCAGGCAGAAGAAGAACATCATGGCTTCAAAACCTAAGGGACTGGTTTGGACAAAACTCAACAGCATTTTTTGTGCGGCTGTTCATAAAAATAGGATCGCCAACATGATCGCCAATGTCCTGTGACGGATATGGAAGAAAAAGAAGGAGGAGGAGGAGGAGGAGGAGGAAGAGAAGGGATTTCCAACAAGCAAAGTCAATGGGAGAAGCAGAATTCACCTAATGGCCGTATGATTTGCTTAACAACTGTGGTGATTCATGTAATGACCAAAAGAGGCCCTAAAATTGGGTGTGACTCATTTAATAATTGCAACACTTGATGAAAGAAGTTGTGCTCCCAATTATGGTCAAGGACTACCTGTATGTTGTAAACAGAACTTCAGAAAGTTTCACCAAATTGCTGAAAAATTTCCTTCTTTGCTTCTGCATTAAAATCCATAATTAATGTTACTTTACTAGATTTTGAATATGTGAGATACAGTGAAGAAGAATATGCGCAACTTTAACATACATCAACTGATTGAGAATTATATTAACTATATTGCTGAAGTCATCACAACCAGCTAATGAATTAGTACTGTGTTCCAACCTCCAAGTTATATCTCCAAGCAGCAGAGTGATTGTAACCTAACTTAATATATTCTGAGATGTCTGTACATGAAGCTTTGGTGTTGTTTTTATTATATTAGCTTCATCTTATCTAGATTCTAGGAAAGCAATTTTATATTGTCTAACCACCCATTTGTTTACCAGGAAAGCACAATCAAGCTTGCTGCTGCACATGTTACATAAATGACAAATATAGATTTCATCAATTTTTCTTGAATTGTTAAAAAAAAGTTACTGAACTAGGAAGTGCAATTAATTCCTTCAGGGTCTCTATCTAGCATTTCAGAACTTGTGATCACATCTGAATCCAGTAAACCAAATAACAAATACTAGGCTACAGGAGGAAGAGATGTCATATTGAAAGGTTAAATCTGGTACGAAGCAATATTGGAGTAATCCAAAGAAGCCACAAGCCCCTCTACAGTTATTCCATCCACAGCTCAGGTATTGGTTTCCTTTCCTTCTTCTGCCCTTTTTTCTTCTTAACACCAAACACATCTGCTACCCTCAGTTGTGTTGTGCCGTAGCATAATATCTGGCATCAGATCAATAAAAATAACTGCAAGGAGCAATAAATGACTATTTTCTACTTCGGCACTTTCAGGATATCTCGTAGTGCTCTGCAATCACATGTCACACTCCAGTCGTAAAAAGTTCTTGTCTAATGTTATATCTCAAGAGATATACTCTGAATAATAGCCTCCTCAGCCTTTGGCACTGAAATCCAAGAGCTGCTGGGCCTCAGCCTTCCCTCCTTGGTATTTATTTTAGCCAGCCTTGCTCTCTCAGCTTCCGTGGAATGTTCCAACTCCTACTCCTTTCTAAATCGAACCAACTTCATCTGCTGTTTGAATAAAAGCTTCATGGCATGTTAGTCACGACATCTTGCAGCACAATTTTATTCACAAAACTTCACGGGGGGAGGGGAGAATCAGTCTGCAAACCAACTTTATAAAAAAAGACAGAAGTAATGGGCTCTAATACACCAAATCAGGTGTTTTCTTCATTTAAGGCTGTGAACAAAACAAAACAAAACTGATTTTTATCTTTGGAGACTAAACCCCCCATTTTGAATCCATCTACATAAGCAGTACTCATTCATTTTGGTAAAATCAAACCCACAAGTAAATGTATATCTTACAGAGCAGAATATTATCTGAAGCACCTGTTCTCATTTGGCCTTTTTTAATTTTTTGCTATCTTATGTTTCTAAAGAAAAGACACTGCCATGGCAAAGTGTACATGTATCTAAATCCCAAGGACTCTGTTGTTAAATATGTTAAATAAATATGGTAGAAATCCCTTGGAAGATATCATTTGGTGTTTGAGTTTATCACAGTCAAAGACGAGTACAAGTAATGAACAAATAAAATTTAAGACAGATTAAAATACATTTCTAGAATGAGCTAACTAGCATCTAATGAATAAGATCCAGGATATAGCCCATATTAGATCATAATATAAATACTAAAAATATATTAAGCATAATGGCATCCAATAATTATAGCAAAATTAAAGTATCTAAAACTATTAATATAAAGAAGTAATAACATCTAAAATTTAGACAAACTATAGTTACAGGGAATATATTATGGGACGCTAGCCCATCAGGGTTTGAGAGAATTGCAAAAAAACTGGCTACAAGCATTGTACCAAAGGATACTTCATCTCTGAGCAGCATCTGAATATACAGTAAGCCGAATCTGGGCAACCAGGATATCTGCTAGTCAGAGGGAGTAGGAATCTGGTTCTGATGTCTCGACAGAAGGAGCAACATGTTTTGTAGTTTCTATAGAATCACAGGGGCAAAGCCTTCAGCTAATGGTACCCTTTTATATTTACCATCCCATACTGTAGAGGGGAGAGCATGGCATTGGGCAAGAGGGAAAGCTTTCGGATGGCTAGGTGTTTCTGGCTGTGTAAGACAGCTGGCAGAAGTGACAATATATCTATTGTGTACTGGTGACAGGAAGGTCAGGGCCTTCTCTACATCTGCTTGCTCCTCTGTATCCTTTATCATTGCTTGGTGAAGCTTCCTTTTTCTTCACATAGAGGCAAAGAGTAAAGAGTATCCCTGCTTGAATCTTAAAGAGTTTCTCTGCAGGAATGATGAAGGATTTTCTACCACAATGATAGAAAAACTTCCATTTGAAGAACTCAGAAATAGTAAAGTTTCTTGACTAATGCAAAATTAAGCTATAGATCTTCAAACTGTAAATACATTGTGTCTGTGTGATAGACACTGGATTAACTAGAATGCTGGATCAAAAATT